CGAACGGATCAACGGTTGTCCTGGGTGAGGGAAAATCCGGCACACACTCGGGATTTTGTTTTTTGCTTAAGTTGCTTTCGAAAAACAGTCGAATTTTCCCAGTTATTCTGATTCTGTTTCACTGATGTTGGAAAAATCATATTCCTTTATTAAGATCTGCAATCATGCAGTCACCGGTTGAACACAGCAATATGTTAAATTCTTGTCCTAGCGAATTTGCCGTTATTATTTTTCCATCATGATTTCCTTTAAACTGCTTAGAATAAATATTGAAACATATTGTCCAGCACCCATTAGCGTTAATTATTAATACTAGATCCGTAGAGCAAATCATTATGACGTAAATCTTAATTTCTTCCTGTGCAAACGTTTGCTCTAAAAATCTTGAATGATTCTCCTATTGACTTACGATATATTAAAAAAATAATCCCGTTAGATCCAATTCCCAAAATGGATTTACCCCACAGTTCCGTACAAAGATCACTCCAATCGCCTGAATTATATGCAGTTAAAATAAGCATGATGTTTTAGAGACAATTATTCGAAACTTAATTTTCTGAAAGAATGTGACCAGCTTGTTTTCATTTCATCTCCAAATGCGCAGGTTGTATTTCAGTTGCGATTGAATTGCAATACTTAGCGATCGGTGAAATTCATTTTCCTCGGTTTAAGTATCCACCAGTGGCGTGCATTGGTCTCTGAGATTCAAAGGTTGAGCCCCGCCGTCGCCACCCAACTCTGTTGGTAGACAACTGCGTTGTCATCTGGCTCAATATTACGATTGAATTGGTTCATCAAACTATTCCGCTGGACATAGGATATTGGTTATCGTGAGTGAAGAGCATGTAGGTCCTTGTGACTGTAGAGTCTGTTGGTTCTAGAGTTCTCCACGCAATGGAGTAAAACGAAAAAGAAAACAGAATCATAGACCAGAGTGTTTCACCTCTACGAAGATTTTCGGCTTTTTCACTTCCTCGCATAAACCGTCACAAGTAGCCAACACAAGCAGAACGATATCGAACAAGCAAGGTTAAAGCAACTTGGAAGCCCACGTCTAGAGGTTTGAACCTATGATACCACTCTTCTCGTACCATTATTCAATTGAGTAAACGAAGCGAACACATTCAAGAAAACTACCATACTGGGAAGATTGAAATTATTTGTTGAAAATCTTCCAAATGAATGAGGTACGGGAGTGTGTATATGTGAAGGGGAGGGGAGAGTGGTGACTGGAATTTTCCAACTTCAATTGCACAAACAACAATAACAACAACATCAAACATCCTAAATAAAGACGGCAATCAACCAAACAGGACATGATTGTAGAAGCGTAAAAACAAAGTCTTTGGCTTCAACCGCGTTTCACAATGCGCGGAAATGAGTGCCAATGGCGGAAAATGAAGTGAAGGTTCAGTCTGGATTAGGGCAGGGTGAGTGTGTGCGGAGGTGGAACAACAATTTCGGAGACGATAAATGAAATACAAACTGGGCAGACCGAATTGCCTACACCACTTGGATGCATGAGACCCGGATATGTGAGGATGTATCTGTATATCAGAGGTGATAAGAAGGGACACAATATGATGACAACCAGTCTATGAGGTGGAAGTACAGAACATGAACGTTCGGGGTTAAATTAGGAAAGGAGTTAACACTCCCGGAATATGGGCAGATGTATCCTTTAACGTGATAACCAGAATTCGAGTCCGCAATCTACAGTTTCTGAGTAAGAACATTCGACTATTCGGTGGGTCCCGCGGGAATGCACACACACAGTGCCACCAACACAAATATTTATTCGAGTAGGTGGTTATATCACAAGAGGTTTGGAAGATATCGGTCTACTGAAAATCACTCCATCCAGACGGAAAACCTCCAGAAAGAGGTTTGTTTCCCGTGGAAGCACTGACAGGAGCAGATGGACTGGAAGTGCCAAAAATGTCCGCTAAAAGGTCCATGTTGGAAGCACCGGCAGGAACCTGAAAGAACAGAAATTAACAAAGGTTAGATAGTGAGAATCAAGAAATCGAAACACATTTTTCGCTCCGGATATGAATACGCAATATGACTGTCCCTGTCATCTGATTGCCACCAAACGGAGACCACTGCCAGAGATATCCAGTGGC